GTCAGTGGATCCCTGCATCATTGTCAACAGGGTTTTAGGTGGAGTCTATCTGGCTTTCAGAGAAGAGTCAGGAAAACATTTTTATTCCCAGCCTGTGTCCCATGGGCAGAAGCAAATCCTAAATTCTCCTCCTGAACCCTCCCAATTTGTCTCTACAGACTCTCTTCTCCTAGTTTTTCTGTTTTCTCATGGTTGACCTTGTGTCCAGCCTGAGAAAGGTAGGGAGGGGGCTTTGTCAGCCCTGAGCCCTATGTGGTGGAAGAGGCTTCACAGAGGGACAAGAAGGAGAGTCCTCAAGATCAAGTTGCTTCTTGCTGTCACCAACACAACCCTTTCCACTACATCTTTGTTTTCTTTTACCTACTCCATGAGCTACAAGGAACATCTGAGGCTTTGAAACAAGCTCACATTTTTCCCCCAAATGAGAGGAGGAAGCCCCTTGGATGAGGGAGGAGCAGCTCAGACTGCTCCTTACTCTGCTCCGGGCTTCTCTGGTGACTGGCCCTGCCTGACTCCACCTGGGGTGGGACCAGCATGTGTGGAGAAAGAGCCCTGCTGACCTGTCCTGAATTCAGCTAAATCGAGCTGCCAGTTGAAGTGAAGCCTAGGCTGCAGGGAAATAAGAAGAGAGGGAGCTTTGGGGCAGACTCTTGAGCTGTGTCCTGTCTCTGAAGTCACCGGCTGTATGAGGCTGTGGGCACTGCATGTGGGACACAGCACAGAGGACAGTGAGTGATGCACACTTGAATAAATAGGGAGATTCACCTCTGGGGCTCTGCATGGCAGGAAAGGGGCAATGGAAAACGTGTGTATTTGTAGAGTGTAAGACTTCCAGTACACTTTATATATATCTAATATAAGATTTATCGTTAATTGTTTCTATGTGTGCAATTTAGTGTTGTGTAACCATCACACTATCCATTTCCAGAACTTTTTCCTTTTACCATATTAAACCTCTGTACCCTATAAACAGTAACTCTCACGTCTTCTCCCCGTATCCCTCAGCACATACCATTCTAATTTTTGTCTCTATGTAACTGGCTAGTCTATCTTTTATAAATGGAATTATAGAATAATTATCCTTCAATGTCCAGCTTATTTCAGTTAGCATAATGTCTTCAAGGTTCATCCACTTTGCACGATGTGTTGGAATTTTATTCCTTGTTAAGGTTGAATAACATTTCGATGTAGAGATATACCTCATTTGCCTACCCACTTATCTTTCAGTGGACTTTTCCGTTGTTTCCATTTTTTGGCTATTGTGAGTAATGCTTCTCTGAACATCAATGTGCAAATATTTGTTCAAATTTCCTTCCATTCTATAGGCAGTATGTCCAGAAGTGGAATTGCTGGATTGAATGGTAATTTATTGTTTAATTTTTTGAGAAACAGCCACACCACTTTTTACAGTGGCTATAACATTTCCCATTCCCATCAGTAATGCACTAGAGCTCCATTTTTTCCATCTATTTGAAAACACTTGTTTTGTATTGCTGTCATTGTTGTTTATCAAAGGTGTGTGAGGTGGTGTCACATTGTGGTTTTGATTTGCATATCTCTACGTATTCATGACGCTGAGGAACTCTGCATGGGCTTATTGGATATTTGCATATCTTCCTTGGAGAAAACCCTATTTTAATCCTTTGTTCATTTTTTAATTGGGTTTTTGGATGTTTGCTGTTGTTGACTTGTAGTTTTTCATGTATTCTGGAAATTAATTTCTTATCACACTTATAAAAAAAAAAGAGTACTATATGGAATTCAAGAAAAAAATAAACAGCAGTAATTTTAAAGTGGAGAAATTTGATAAACACTACCTGAGCTAGATGATTGAGATTAACTTTAATAGTAATAAGTAACATTATGGGATGTTTTCTTAATAAGATGTGATGTGTCAGAATGACACTTTACTGCTGTGGTGTTCTTCCCCAAAACCCTTTACCCTAGTCTAAGAAAATTGTCAAACAAATCAAAATTGAGGCACATTCCACAAAACACCTGACTAGTATGCCTCAAAACTGTTAAGATCATTCAAAACAAGGAAAGTCTGATAAATTGTCATGGCCAAGAGAAGACTAAGGAGACATGACCACTAACTGTAATGTTGCTATCTGGATACAATCCTCAAAAGAAAAGAACATTAGATAACAACTAAGGAAATCTGGAGACAATATAAACTTTATTTAGCAACAGTATTAATATTGGTTTATTATGAGAAATGTATCATACTAACATAAAATTTTAATAATAGAAAAAACTGGGATTGGGTTCTGTTAGAATGCTAAAATTTTTACTTTTCTGTAAATCTAAAGCTATTCTAAAATTTCTTTTAAAAATTTTTAAAATTGTGTTTCATTTTAATTAGTTCTGAGTGACATCATCTGGAAAATTACTACTGGCCTGAACTGAATTTCTTTCCAATGAACAATGGGACATTCTTTAATCAAATGTATACAGACCAGTGATTCATTTTGTTCTATCTAAAGTAGTTTAAATTATTAATTAAGACAATGATTATGAACTCCTCCTTTCTAGCATTTAATATATTCTGATGTTCCCCTTCAGAGAATGGTTATGTTTATTTCTTTTTTGGTATTTGTAGTTTTATTTGTAATTGATATATTCTTCTTCATTGTTTTATTCTTAATTTTTCTCTGTTAGTATTTATCTTTGACATCCCTTTGTCTCTTTTATTTAATCAGCCACTATTTACTTTTATTGTGCAATGCAACAAGTACAGAATGTATTCATATATTGGATTGTTATTATATATCACAATGGAGTAATAACATACCTTTTCTTTTTTTTTTTGAGACGGAGTTTGCTCTGTCGCCCAGGCTGCCAGGCTGGAGTGCAGTGGCACGATCTCAGCTCACTGCACCCTCCACCTCCCAGGTTCAAGCAGTTCTCCTGCCTCAGCCTTCCTAGTAGCTGGGATTACAGGCACGCGCCACCACATCCAGCTAACTTTTGTATTTTTAGTAGAGACGGGGTTTCACCATGTTGGCCAAGCTGGTCTCAAACTCCTGACCTCAAGTGATCTGCCCGCCTCGGCCTCCCAAAGTGTTGGATTTACAGGCGTGAGCCACCGCGCTTGGCCTACTTTTTCTTAATCTGTCTTAAATTTGCAAAAAAAATTAATATGAAGTAGGGAATGTTATTTTCAGTGGCCTTTTCAACGGTCAAAATTTGCATGTTTCTTCAAGTAGTGCTATGTACTGTGGATTAAATATTATTAATATCTTGTAATAATCTATCTTAAACCCTCATTTGATGTAAATGAACCCAGTTCTGTTGAGGAAGTTCTGACATTGTTCTGAAAGAATTACATTTTACTGGCAAGTGACAGCTGCCTCTCTTACCAAACATCCTACAATCCCTTTTATTTCTGAAGCCTATCAAGATTAGAACATTTTACAGTTCTTTTTCAGTAATGATCTATATCTTGGCTTCAACTAACATCCTAGTAGGAAATGACCTTAGGTAAAATTGTGTTGTGAGCCATTTACTTTGCTGCTGTCCTATTTTTCTGTGCACAGGTATCAAAGTGGTTCCAAGTGTACATTTTAAAGAAAATAAAATAAGGCTAAAATCCTGACTATGACAAAAATAAGTTATTGAATATTGTATTTGTGGAAGCTACTTCTCTGTCCTTCAAATGTGTAACTATAAAATAGGAAAAATAATTTCTATCTAATAGCTTCTTGTGTGAGCATTAAATTTGATAATTTGTGTAAAGCATCAGAAGAGTGCCTCTGTACATCACAGACACTCAAAAATAGCAGCAATTTTAGCTACAGGAATCTTCAATATAATGCTATACAAATGTTCTGATGAAATCTCCTACTAAGCCATTATAGGCTATTCACACTCTTAAATTCGTTCACTTGTTCCTATGGCACAGCTAGTGAGAAATATAGTTATGTATAAAACTTTAACAACAAGTTTCACATGTAAAGCAAGACCTTAGTAAAGGGCTCCTTTGCAATGGGGATCATCAATGACTTACAACATACAAATTCAGGAGAGAATAATGAGGATATGTCATATAACTTTTGCAGAGTACAACACTGTAGACTTGACTATGCTAACTTACCTATAATTGGATTCAGATATTCTAGGGCATATTTAAGTATGTGTTGGGGAGAGGTGAGAGGTGGAAGCAGAGAAGTCGTGTATGTTGAATATCAGACTTGGCTTAGGCTGAGAATAAAAAGTAAAGAAATAATAAATGTTTTAACAATACATAAATTATAGGTCCAAAATAATATAGCATCAGTTTTGAAAAATAGGCAACAGTGTTCTTGCCCAAAATTTTGTCTGTGTCACTTGACATTATTTTGGTTAGTATTCACATTTTTATATTTTATTTCATTTTATTATCAGTTATTATAAACAAGGTCTTAACATCCTAAATCCCAATAACTTTTCAAATCTCTACAAACATCGTTGTCTGAATATATAAGCAATATTTTTCTTTATTTCTTTGCTTATCCTTGTTCTTATTATATTACCTGACAATTTTTTTGTGTTAATTATTTAAAATAATTATAACTAAGCTTTCTCCTAATGTTTTAGTCTAGTCAAATAATTCAGTATATTCTATTTTTACTTTTTTATGGACTTACCAGTAGCCTGAATTTCCTATTAATTGCATATTTTGTTATCTCGTGTCATATTCCTTGTCCTCAGTCATTAACAGTTAAATTGTCTAAATTTAGATCACTATCTGAGTAACCTTTCTTTCAGATGCTATCGATTTTAAAGCATATTTTCTGCCTAAAGCCTTTTACCATCTCAACTTTTCCTAGATTGTTTTCAGCGCTCATTCTATGATGTACACTTCCTGACCCTGTGAATTAGGCTTTTGTGTGCTGTATCATGTTCAAAGTGTTCTCAATCCAAAGGCAGATTAGTCCTCAGATTTCTCCTGCTGATTTTTTATGCTCTGTCTTCAAAAATTGTCAGATTTATTAGGCTCTGGACGTGCCTTTTGTGATTGCAAACTGTGACTATATTTAATCAAACTTTTTTCTTATTAAGAGCTCTGTGACTGTGGCTTTAATTGGCATTTCTACAATTCCCTCCTTCAAAAATTCCTTTACATTTTAAATGACCTGTCAGTGATAAATTGTTATAGCAAAATAGCATCTAATTTTCCCTACTCCAGTATGAAAATGGTGGGTTTCGTCAAGGGTGATTATCCTGCAAGGAAAAAAAACTGAGGAGAGAAATGTGGTCTGATCATGAGTGACCAGATAGAGAATCCTAGGAAGATCGAGGTTATCCTGAATCCACTTCTTAGGTCAGCAGGACATCTGAGAGAGACTTGAAGCTGTGTCCTCAAGAAAGGCAAGACAATATTCACAAATAAGGCAGAGCTGAATCTTGGAGAACTGGCCAAAGATTCGTAAGCACCTAAAAAAGTGGGTTTCCAGACTTTTTCAAGAATACTTTCTAGCTTCTAGTCAAATGGATCTTATATTAACTTATCTGTTTTGGTCCATAGGTCATTTAGTTATTTCCTAATCAGTTCCATTGTGAGTTGTGCTCAAGAAAATCTTGTGACCCAATGTCTTTCTGATTACAATAATGTGATTGTTGTGGGGCTATGAAGATAAAGACTCTGTGTATAGGGAGCCAGTTTTTCTCAGAAAGTTGAGATCCATAACTGCATTTACTACCTCAGGGAAAAATATAGAAACTTATTTCACACCAGAAAGAAGAGAAATCTCTTGGTCTTGAGCACAGAGGCTTCAGAATGTTGAAGGCAGTGGACTTGTTAATGTTGAAGGTGATGGACTCTTGAAGTGTGCAATGTGACGTACCCCCTTACTCCCACCCTTTCAGCCTGGCCCTCAGATGA